CATTCCTGCAGCTACGTTTTAATGCATGTATGTGTATGTGTGTACGTTTCTCTAATGTGCATGTGAGTATATATAATAATGTGGATATATGCATATTTATATAATCATTTTTACTTATCTGACTGGCAAACAAATATACTTAAAATATTTAGCATTAAATGGTGAACTGAAAGAAGCACTCTTATTCACTTTGTAAGGAATGTTGGCTTATTGGTACCATCTTGAGAGAGGGAAGGGAGAACGAATTTGGTGATATCAATCAAAATTTTAATCATGCACAGTCTCTGACCCAGTCATTTCACTTCCTGGTCACAATGTACTACTCAGAAATAATGCCAAAAGTACACAAAAATTTCTTAACAAATTAAGATGTTCTTAATGTATGTATACATACATACTCATAAACATTCACACACATACATATTTTTTGTTTCTATATTCATCAATAATAAAGTTAGAAACAGCAACAAAAGATGAACTACCAATTGTTTTTACCATGGATTTTGCCTGCCAACTGAAGTGAAGAAACTATTTGTAATAGTGAAAGGAAACATTGTTTGGAACAGTAAAATGCTATTAAAAATCCATGCATCGGGCTTCCCTGGTGGCGCAGTGGTTGAGAGTCTGCCTACCGATGCAGGGGACACGGGTTCGTGCCCCGGTCCGGGAAGATCCCACATGCCGCGGAGCAGCTGGGCCCATGAGCCATGGCCGCTGAGCCCGTGCATCCGGAGCCTGTGCTCCGCAATGGGAGAGGCCACAACAGTGAGAGGCCCACGTACGAAAAAAAAAAAAAAAAAAAAAAAATCCATGCATCAATGAGGCACTTAACAAATAACAATACATCATACATCCATATGATATCATATTATAAAGCCATTAAAGAGACTGAGTTAAATCTGAAAGTAGAGAAATGGAAAGATGCCAAGACATAGTATCAGGTAGGGGGGAAACACTGTACAACACATGTGTTAGAAAATCCCCTTTTTGTTTAAAAAGGAAAAAGAAATGAGCTTTGAAGTATACCAAATTATAAACAATGATTACTTCTTGGTACAAAGGTACAAAGTCTTAACAGTTCTTAAAACAATTCTATAATATTTGAATTTTCCCAATAACCATTATTGTTTTCTAAGTAGACAAAAAAAGATCTATATTAAAGTGATCAAACTTAAATGACCTGCAACAAACATAAGGACAAATACCACTTTATAATAATTTTAAAATAAACTGTACAGTAGGTATTCTTATTTGTTTTTAGTAGCAAAAACTATTTTTATCTCCCAAATAAAACCCTACTCAGAAGCTTATATATAATGCTGCCAAAAGAAACTGAAGTTGATCGGGGGAGGTGGGTTCTACATTCAGCCTCTCACTCTCTGACCTAACAGAAAACTTATCATGTTAGAGGAGCCCAGACAGTCAGAAGAAATGTGAAGAATTCAGCAACAAGCAAACCAGGCAAGAGGTTTGTCATAGTTACACACAGGTGCTTACATCTGCTGTACCTGACTTTTACATTTCTCCATAAATGGGAGAACTATATCCAATACCTCAAACATGTCTGAAACACCTAACTTACAAATTCCCCCACCCCTCACTCATATCACTTCATCATAACAGTAACAGCATAGTCATTAACAGGTCCAGCTGTCCCCTCTTCAAGCTAGAGCTACATCCCTATTTGAAAAGCTTGAAAAGATGTTAAGTGTTTGCCATAAGCTAGTCACATAAATGATGACTACCTTCATTTTCAAGGATTTGAGAAAGTCTAGAGGACTAGGCTCAAGATTTAAAATAGAAATCTGAAAAGATCCAGTACTGCTACAGCCCACCACCCACTGACCCCCTTGTGTGGTTGGCAGCCCATTCCTCAGATACAGTCCTTGCCTCAGCCTCTGGGCCTGGGTGGTCCTGTCTTGGCATCTTTGGTTGATCGCTCTCTTACCTTGGACTTTGCATGCCAAGTGAAGTGCAGGAAATTTGTCTCGCTGGGTACTAACAGGTTAAAGGATAGGGCGTAGTGACTAATAAGATCATTTCTCACATAATAAAGTTCTGCATCAAGACCTAGAAAAAAAATAGGGAAAAAAAATTAAACGCCCATAATACCCTCAAAAGTATTAACCATCAGTATTTCAAATACTGATTATTATAAAAATAACACTGATGTACAAATGCACATCACAAACATATCCCACATGTGTTGCCTTACAAAGTAGGAAGAACACAGGATTTCATCATCGCCAACAAGGATTAAGAAACTGAGACTCAGGACAATTAAGTGATCCTCCAGCTAAGCACAGGGGTGCTGGAGCCACAACTCTGGGAGCCACGCTGTCTTCCGAGAACCACCAATGTGATACACTTCCTTTTGGAAACAGACCTTCTCAGAGAAATGCCTACAAACAAACGCCCCTTAACCCCACAAAACTGATGAGGATTTAGGAAGAGAGATGGGCACCTGGGTGAAAATATTAGTGTGAACCAAGGCCTCAAGACCCCAGCCAGAGATGACCTCGGCTTCTGTCAGTACAACGCACTGGCTGCTTGGACGGCATGTTACCAAGGTACACTCACAACACTGCCACACAGACACACGTCCTCTTCCCAATCTGAACTACAAGGTGGAGAACACCATACTTCTCGTATTCTTGGGACAGTCCTCTGCACAAAGCAGATGCTCAGTAAACACTTGTTAGACAAGTTAGAACTGCATATAAAAAGAGAAATAATCAAGATGCCCGCGAAATGTTGGAGATTTCAAATCTCACTCATTGCCATACCACCACTTACTTGCCCAAGGTCACATCCAACCTCAAACACACATCACATTTCTCAATTTTGTGATACCCCTTCTTAAAATAAAAATTTTAAAGGCAAAATTTAATCACCATCTTGAGTGGAAAACCAGTAATTATTGTGAAAAAATACAAGGTAACCAAAATAATAATAATAATAATAATAAATCAATTAAAAGGAAAACAAAACATTACTAAATGCTAAATACTGTGGCCTACACCAAGGCAGTGAGCCTGAGCCCAGCTCATTGTTTACAAAAAGGGAGGAAGGGGATAATAGCAAGTGTTTGAGAGAGGTAAAGAATCAGAGGTTTTCTCTATGATAACCCAAAAGAACTGAAAGAATGAAAGCAGGGAGTAAGTTCTCTCAATTGATTCACTGTTATTTAAAGTTGTGACCAGGTGTCCCTCTAGTAATTCATGACACATATTCCACACATAGGAGGGAAAAAGGTACAGGGGAGGCCAACTGAAATGTAAATTTCATACTTACTGAGCCTTATACCATGAGTCTAAAACACCTTGTGGTATGCAAAGAGGTCAAGGTGAGGCTCTCACACCTCCTAAGATACAGATATAGAAATGAATAACTCTGCTATAGGCATTTCTCCTGTAAAATTAGTTTTCTCATTTCTGAACTGAATCTAATACAATCATTAATTCAGAAATGAGATTTGAGGCTTACATAGGGGAAAGTTGCTGCAATGGTTGAGCAGCGCTGCTTTATTGATCCTATAGAGGAAACCAAATGCAATGAGAGAAAGTTAGAGGTCTTCTGCAAAAGGCTCTCCCTGCCAGCAGAACAGGAAGTGCTAGCAAACAATTGGGGAGGGAGGACTGGTGGGGCTGGAGAAAGGAGGGTAGGGGAAAGAAAGTAAGAAGGCGGGAGAGAGGTAGGAGGGAAATGCAACAAGAAAGCTGGGAACAACGAAGGCCATCAGCAAACACACTAACTGTAAATAGCTTAAATTTTGCTTTTTTTTAAAAATGTTTTTTTACTCTAGTCTAGATTGATGCTGTTCATAAGAGATATACAATACCTAGAACAAAATTTTAAAATATATGCCAGGTTAAAAGGGGGAGAAAAACAAAGAAGTAAATATGGCAGTACTGACATGAGACAAATGAGAACTTAAGGTAGAAAGACTTTATATTAATAAATTCATTAATATGAATTTATTAGTAAGAAAAAGTTCATATTCATAAAAACATAAGATACAGTAGTACAACTAACAAACGAGCTTCAAATATAGAAAGCCAAAAAAAAAAAAATCAAGAAGAAATAAATCCACAATCATAGTTGGAAACTAACATCCTTCAGAAAACAAAAGATCAAAACAGATAAAAATTTAGTGTGGACATATAATTTGAACAGTGTAATTATGGGACATGAAACAAGGGAGGTTAATCATGAATTAGACCCATTACACATTTTACAAAATGGATTCTAACTTGAAATAATGCAGGCTACCTTCTCTGATCAAATACCACAATATAGAAATTAACCATAAGGATAAAGTCAAAAGATGATTACTTGAAAAGATTAGTAGGGACTTCCCTGGTGGTCCAGTGGTTAAGAGTACGACGCGGACTTCCAATGCAGGAGACTCGGGTTTGATCCCTGGCTGGGGAACTAAGATCCCACACGCTGCACGGTAACTAAGCCCGCGCGCCACAACTACAGAGCCCACGTTCCCCAACTGCAGAGCCCACGTGCTCTGGAGTCCATGAGCCACAACTAGAGAGAAGCCGGCACACCACAACGAAGAGGCTGTGCACCGCAACAAAGGATCCCGCATGCCACAACTGAGACCTGACACAGCCATAAATAAATAAATAAATAGATAGATAGATAAATAAATAAGAAAAAAAGGAGACATAGACTAACAATATTTAGGAATGTTACTACAAGTCCTATAGATGTTAAAAAAAAGAATATTATGAACAACCTAATGACAATTCAGTAATTTAGATAAGGTAAAAAAATCCTTGAATTTACCAAAACTGACAAGAAGAAATTAAAAATCCAAATAATTAAAAATCTTCCCTCAAAGCTCCAGGTCCAGATGAATTCTACCAAAATATTTAAGGAAGATATAATACCAATCTTGCACAAACTCTTTCAGAAAATAGTCAAAGAAAGAACTTCCTAACTCATTTTATGTTAGACTGATATTAAAACCTGACTAAAACATTGTAAGAAAATTAGACTGACTTCCCTTGTGAACATAGACACATTCTCTATCAAACATTAGCAAACTGAGTCCAGCAATATAGAAAAAGGTTAATATATCATGACCAAGTGTTTATAAAAGGTAAACCTTTAAAAGTCAATATAATTAAACACATTAATGAATAAAAGGCAAAAACCCAGATCATCTCAATAGATGCAGAAAATGCATTTGGTAAAATTCAAAGCCTAATAATGATTTAAAAAACTGGGCAAACTAGGAAGAGAAGTAAACCTTCTCAGTCTGGTAAAGAGTATCTACAAAAACACTATAGCTAACATCATACTCAATGGTGAATTTAAATTCTTATTTCTAAGATCAGAAACAAGACAAGGATGTCCACTTCCAACACTTCTATTCAACCTTGCGCTGGAGGTCATAGCCAATTTACAAGACAAAAAGTATAAAAGTTAGAGAGGATGAACTATAGCTCATTATTCACAGATGACAGGATTACATGTGCAGAGAAAACACTATGAAATCTATTATTAATAAAATACTACTAAAACCAATTCATGAATTTAGCAAAGCCCCAGAATACAAGGCCAATATTCAAAATATTACTTGTATCTCTATATACTAGCAACAATTGGAAAATAAAATTTAAAAATCAATATCATAACACAAAAGAAAACAGTATCTAGAAATAATTCTAACTAAAGATAAGACCTCTTTACTTGGAAACTACAGAACATGACTAAGAAAAATTAGAGATGACCTAAGTAAGTGGAGAGATACCATTCTCTTAGACAAGCCTCAACACTGTTAAGATGTCAAGTTTCTTAAATTGATCTATAGCTTTAAAGTAATCCTAATCAAAATCCTAACAGATTTTCTGAAGAAACAAATTAACTCTAAAATGAAATTTAAATGCCAAAATAATCTTGAAGAAAAGAAAAGAAAAAGACAACGTTGTAAGACTCACACTACCTCATAGGTAATGTAAGGATTCCAGTTATCCTATTTTACAACAGGATGAAGAACTAGAGTAATCAAGACAGTGTGGTATTGGTATAAGGATAGTTGTACATAGAGTATATCCTATATCATTCCATTTATATAACGTTCTAGAGCAGGCAAAATTAATCTGTGGTGACAGAAATCAGATTAGTGTGGTTGCTTGGGAGGGGGTTGGGAGGGAGATTTGTGAACTGATTACTAAGGGAACCTCCTGGGGTGATGGAAATGTTCTGCATCTAATTGGGGGGGGTGGTTACATAGGTGTATGCATTTTTCAAAACTCGACCAACTGTATCTGCATGTTTCATTGTATGTAAAGTTTACCTAAATTTTTTTAAAGAGTCAACAGGTTTTTACCTCTCTTTTCCAGTCTTAAAAAGTTTGCATACCACAGAATGTTACTATCACCAACATAAAAAGTTTCAGAAAAAAAGAATTAATCTTAAGTGATCAACAACTTCCAAATTTAAATTTCAAACATCATTCACAGGGAAATGAATTCTGTTCCTAATAAATAACAGTTATAAGGTTATTACTGGTAATAACAACGATGTGTAAATATTTAAATTTTCCAGACACAGTTCAAAGTGTCAAGAACATCTAGGAGTTCTGTAAATTCAACTCCACATTAAGCTCCTTCCCAGTATCTTAGCTACCTCATTCACTGAGGATTCTGGAACCAGTTTATGAAATTTCTACACACCCTTATCCTGTGACTTACTATGGCAGACTCCCAATGTACCTGAGATCAACCCACTCTCAACCCAACCTTCAATGATCCTTTTATTCCTCAACTCCAACAACCTTCATCCATACCAAAGCAACCCATTTCTATGGACAGTGACAATATATAAATTGCTCTACCTCCAAAATATTAAACTGTAATTATCTCAATAGTTAGCAGCTCCTCAGCTCCTTCCCTTTATTGTTACAACAGCTGTTCTGTGGGCTCATAATATCGCCAGTGTCCATAATCCTCTTGTTTCTCCCATTTGATTATAGCAATTATTTCCTTATTTTCTTCTTACTGGCCTCAACGCCAATTACTGCAATTACTTCCTTACCAGTACCCTCAACT